CCCGGGATCTGCGACCCAGGCGCCCGCGCCCCGCGGCCTCGCCGCCACACTTTCCTGGGAGCGGCTGCGGCGGCACCATGAAGAAGTCGTACTCAGGTGGGCGCCGCGCCCGGCGTGGGGAGGAGGGTCGGTGTCCCGCACGAGCGCGTCTCACCTGCGCGCCGGTGCCGGGAGCGGCGAGGCCACCGGGAGCTGCGCGGGTCCCGGCGCAGAGACTCCCAGGACGGGGTCCGACTGTCCGGCGGGGGCGACGCAGCCTCCTCCCCACGGTCGGGTCTGCGGGCGCTCGGGACGCCCAGCCCGAGCCCGACGCGCCGTCTCCCTCCCAGGCTCCACGTAGCCGCTCCCGCGCCGACCCGGGCCGCCCGGGGCTGGTGCCACCTCTGACGTTGGCCCAGGGTCTCCTGTCCGGGGTCCGGCAGCCGCTGCTGGTTCAGGTGACTGAGGGGCTGCCGTGAGGACGCGCCCTCCTCCCTGCCCTTCTCGCCCCTTGACCGGAATCGCTGACTCCTGGGCGCTGCCTCCCGGCTAGGTGCTTTGGGCGCCCGGCTGAGTCCGGCTGCTGGGTGGAGGGCTCTCCTCGCGGCGGCCCCAAGAGCTGGTGGCCCAGGCCGCAGCATCCTTTCCGCACAGTATGCTCCAGAGCCCTCTACCTGGTGGGTTAAGGAACCACCCTCCTCCACGCGGGACCATCCAGCAGCGCCCAGTTTGACAACTTGGGCTCATCCTTCTGGTCTCACAGTGCCATTAGCCCGCTGGCATCCTGACCCCACTCCAGTGGGTGCCACCTTACCCAGGTGCAGGGGGCCAGCCGGCTCTCCGGGGAGCTCCGGGGTCCTTAGTAGTCGTCCTTCTGTTACTCAACAGTTCCATTTCACAAACAGGCCAAGGGAGACCACGTCAAGGGCCATCCTGCTGTCCCTTCTTTTTCTTTTCCTGTCCTTTACACCTTTCTCTTATGATTCAGGCAGGATCCTTTGTCTTCAGTTCTGGAATAATAAGCAGCACCTCCCCCTCTACTGACCCCAAGGCCTTCTGTTTATATTTGTCCTTAACCCATTTGGACCTGAAGTTTTCTGCCAAGGACTGGGCGAGGTGAATTACTTTTATTGATAGGACAGAGTCCTGGGATGTATTTGGAGCCAGAGAAATCATTCAAGCCACCCCTCTGCCTTGAGGCTATTTTCAGTTTCCTCCTGCTTTCCATATTCAAGAACAAAAATGAATAATAAAGAATACCTTGTCTCAATAAGGACCATTCAGAACTTCCCCTAAAATTCCCTTCTGGGTCAGCAGCTTCAGATTTCAGTGTTCGGTTGGTGTTGCAAACATGCCCTTCGGACAGTGAGTGTGAGCTAGCTCTATCTCTGACTCTCCATCCCAGATGCATTGGTGGGCTGGTGGGAGAGAGAGGCTTTCAGGTGGCATGGGCCAGGGATTGGCGCTGGGTCTCCCTCCCTCCCCAACATGCTCTAAATGCTTGGGATGGTTGTGGGCATCCCAGGCCGCCCGCCTGAGATTCGTGCTCTCTGGTCTGGAGGGGACTATGTTTGCTCTTGGCCTGGATTCCTTTATCTCCTGCTGGGGGTCCAGTTGGTGAGTGTCCGGATCTTCCCAGGTCTAAGGCCCTTGGCATTTCCTCCAAGGATCCCCAAAAGGACCCTACAGTAGCAGGCTCAAAGTCCCTGAGTCTAAGGGACTCTTAGAAGGAGGGGACCAGCCATAGCTCCCTACTCTTCTCTCCCACACTGACCCCACCTCCAACACAGGTACATTTTTTGATTAAAGATGAAACATGTTGCAGTAGTAGAGTTTATGGGGTAAGTAGGAATCAGCTCATTTAAAAGCAGGCTCTGTGGCTCCTTATATTTACCTAAAGGGGTGGGGCCCCCCATAGTATGGGCAGAGGGAGGTCCTGTTCCCCACCTGGCAGTGATCCCAGGCTCGTGGGGTCACTGGGCTGCAGTTGTATGGATGGTGCTGCTGGGGAGAGGGGCTCTTGGCCCTGTGTGTATGTCCCCAGGCTCCTGCACCCAGCCTGTCCTGAGTAGGGCCACTCGCTGAAGCCAGACTGGTCCCTAAGCAGCCACCAATGCTATGAAATCAAGGAAAGTAGCAAAGAATGTTAGAAATCTCCCTAGTGTCTGAGAATCCAAGGCCAACCAGGAAGGGTTTAATTTTTCCCCTAGACTGGGGGGGGGGGGGATTAGTGCTTCTGGACCTATTTATGGGCTTAAAAATCCACGGCCTGGTTAGCACACTGTGGTTAGCAGAGCCAGCAAGAGCCACTGGGGCCTCTGAATTTCAGCCCAGAGTGAGAAGTACCCTGGGGTGACTGAGCACACGTTATGTGTTGGGGACGCATGAGGCCAGAGCTAGACAGGGCATTGAGCTGGGGATAAGAGGTGGTCTTTGCTGGCCTGTTCATCAAGGAGACAGGGTGCAGGTGTGATCCTGGCTTATTGCTACCCAGCCTCTGAGTGCTAGAGCCTACAAATGCGCAGGAGGCCCTGGGAAGGGGTGGGAGCCTTCAGGGAGGGGGAGCTGGAGCTGGAGCTGGAGCTGAGGAGATGAAGAATGGAGTAGTGGAGAATGAAGAGAGTCCTCCTGGCCAGGGCCAGGTGCAGCCGCCACAGGATGCAGGGTATAGGGGTGGGAGCAGTGTGCAAAGGCTCCAGGCTTTTTCCTTGATGAACCTCACTTGTCCCCCCCAGTGGAGCAGGGTTATAGCAGCTGTGGGTAGTGTGGCCCAGTGGCTAAGTGTGTGTGCCAAGGGTCCTCAGCATTTTGGAATGAAATCTCAGGCTGCTGCTTTCTATTCTGGGGACAAGGTACTTCATCTCTCGTGTTCATTTTCTCATTTGTTAAATGGGGTGATGCTAAGTTGTGAAGCTGAAGTGACTTTGTATGTGAATAAGCGGGGACTGCCTGCTCTGTGACCTGTGGAAGGCTGTGCTGCCGAGCTGGGACATTCATGAGCTTCCTGGCCCTTCTTGCCTGGCCCAGCGCCTTTGAGCTAGATTCAGCATTCGTCTTCCCCCTTCCTGTCCCTAGGACTTGGTGCTTAGGCCTCTGGCATATGCAGCTCCCATGTAGTGTCCCTGGCTTCCCCAGTGATCCCCTGTGACAGGTGTCAGGGGACCAAGCCGAGGAGGCCTGCCAACCCCTGAAGCAGGGTGAATGTCTGTGTGTGTACCTGGGACTTGCTCTGGGATCCCTGGTGGGGGTCCGGAGGCTCTTGAAGGGCTGCTGTAAGGTTCTGGCTGGGAGGAGGCTGCGTCCAGAGGCTGCACCTTGGACAGGAGCGTGTGCGATATTGTCAGTGAAGATGCGGGCTCCCCCACCCCAGCCAGTGCTCCCACAAGAGGAGGATTGTACCCTCCAGGAACACTTACTTCCGAGTCAGCTTCCCAAGTGACAGGGAGAGAAGGGTGTGAACATAGAGCTCTTGGCTCTGCTTCACTTGCAGCTCTGTGCTGGCTCCTGCTGCTTCTTGTCCTAGCTTGTCTGTTCTGGTGCATTCGGGGGACCTGGCAGGAGAGGGCCTCCTGGTGCAGCTGTTCTGTAGCTCTGTGGCCCTCCTGACACCCCCAAGGTCCCCAGTTGGGAGAGCTGGCTGAGCTGAGTCCTGGGTCCATCTTCTTCCCAGGCAGGGCCGGAGGCAGGAGGGCATGGCAGGCATAAACAGATGGATAGCTGGCCTCTCCACCCTTCCCGCTCACTCCAGCCCACAGCATCTATGCAGCAGTCAGCCTGCCTGTCAGCTTCTCCCCAGCCTGTAGAGGGGGGCCGAGAGCTGAGTGTAGTGCACCTGGGTTTCAGACAGCTTCTGGAACCCGTGTGACTAGTGCAAGCCAGGGCATGGGCAGAGGGTACGTGACATTGTCACTTAGGAGTGGCAGTCTGCAGTCCATGTCTAGGTGGGGGCCTGCATGTGTTTGGAGCTCCCAGGTGGGAGCCTGCAGGATATCCTGTCTGCAGCTCCACAGAGGAAGGCATTGTGTGTGCTCCTCATGGTCCCCTGCCTGAACCTGCCCTCCTCAGAGATTGTCCTGCCCATCCCAGTCTGCCCCGAGGGCCCCACATGGCTGGACCAGAGGCGGTCCCTTGTTCTGCGTGTTTGTCCCTGGGCAGTGTTGCGTGGGCTCTGCAGTTTGCTTAAGATGTCCCTGATAAGGAAAGTTCAGGACACACCAGGGCAAGCTGGGCCTTGAGTGGGCCCAGAGCTGCAGATCCTGGGCGGCTCCAGCTGGCCTGCAGCTGCAGGAGGGAAGAGGACCCTAGAGAGAGGTCCCAGGCCCTGGGGTGTGAGCCTCTGGGGTGGGGAAGGAGGTGACTGGCTGGCTTTTTCTCTGTTTGTTGGGGCTGTTTCCTTAGAAACCTCCCGGGGTAGGCTGTTGTCAGGGGATTACTAGGGGATCAGAAGGGGCAGTTCAGGCCCAGCACTCCTGGAGATACTGCCAGCAGAGTCCTGTTGGCAACTGCTGGAAGCTTGGACCAAGGAGAGTCTGTTTCAGTGGACTCAGAGGCTTGGTAGAGAGCTATCATGGTGCCAGGGAACTGGGTCCTGTGACAGTCAGACTTGTGTGCTGCTGAGTGTCCCTGGAGACAGCAAAGTGTCCTATGGTTGGCAGGCTGGTCACCTCTACCTCTTCCCTGATGGGGCAGCTGTGCCGGGTCTCCTGAGGTCCTGGCCCATTTTGATTCTTCATGTGGATTCGGTCATTTGTTTCAAAACCATCTGCAGGGCCCTGCTAAGCGTCAAGCTGTGTTCTGGCTATACAGCCTGGTGGCTCTTGGCACCAGCTCTCTAGGGTGGCCTGGCCTTGGGTCCCCGGGGGAGTGGCCACTCTGC